CAAGCCTCTATTGTGTCCCAGTCTCCTGTACCCATACCACACTGTTTTAATTACTGTACTTATACTATGCTTTAATAATTAATTTATTGTTCTTTTATACTATGCTTTAATAACTATCATTTTTTTGAAAAATTTCTTCTATTTCATAAACTATGAAATTTTCAAATAAACTCCTAAAGATTTAATTAGAATTACACTAAATGTATAAATTAAATTGGAGATCCTATGGACATCTTTATGATGGTAAGTCTTCCCATCCAGGAATATGGTACATTTCTGCATTTTTTTCTAGCCTTCTTTGCAAAATTTTATTGTAAGTTTCATATAAATTTTAAATTTTTGTTCCAAAAGATGCAAGTGTTAAAACTAATACTGGAATCAAGAAAAATAAAATATCCTACCAATGTAGACAGATAATATAAGATAAGGAGGGTGGGAAAAGGAGGGGGGACTACTATTTAATAAACAACTACTATGCCCCATATATAATTTCAGCAGATATTTTTACTAGTCATAGTATTTTATCATCATAACAAGCCTACTTTGTTATAACTTGTAAGAGAGGCAACTGTTACTGCCATTTTACAGAGGAAAACACTGAGGCTCAGAACAGTCAATAATCTGCCCAAGTTTTCAGTACCTGTTTAAGACTGAAGGTCGGAGCCTGTGTTTGTACCCACAGTGCCAACTCAGTTAAGCAGATTTAACAGCTGTCAGTTTGAGGGTATATCCTATTTCACTTATCAGTACCTCACTTATTCTGTTATCCCCATGTCACTCATGAGAGACTTCAGCTTGGGTGGCAAGTGTATTAACTTGCTGAAAGTCACACTGCAAGTAGGCAGGAAAGCCAGAGTTTGAATCCAGTTTCTTCTTATCCCTCAGCTCATATTCTCAGCTCCTAAAATATACTCAAGAGTACACAAGGGAGTCAGGATTCAAACCCAGGGCCCTCTAACTTTCCCTCCACTACATCACGTGACAATAGCTCAACTCTCATTTTGCTTTCGTGGATGGAGGAATGAGAATCAGAACAGATTGTGAAGAATACAGCTATCTCCTATAGAAAGTCACAGTAAATCTTGTGGCTAGAACAAATTATGTCTAACTGAATAAAAAAGTTATGAGTTGAGCTCAACATAACTCTCTTTGAGACCTTTGAGAATCCACAGAGAGCAAGAAATCTGCTCAAAGAAAAGGAACAAGGTAAACATCAACCTGATTTGCAAAAGAGAAAAGTACAAGGGTTCCCACGTCTCATGTCTCTCAAAGAGAACCAGGCTAGGACTGGGGGCACCATGGGAGTCCACAGGGTAGAGAAGAAAGAGGGGAAAGAGAGGGCAGGCAAATTAATGAGCTGACTACAGGGTACAGAAGTATGCAGGACCTGCCAGCTCAACGACAGTTAAGGCATGGTGGCCAGAGGAAGAGGAGGGTAGGGTGGGGTCGGGGGTGACAGGGCAGAATCTCAGCAATAATGCCTCGAGCTCCAAAAGGCCCCCCACTGCCAGCAGGTCCCAAGTCAGGACCAAAGCTCTGAGGAAGGAAGCTCAGGAGAAGTAAGCAGAGGATCAAGGCCCCACTCCTAGAAGGTGCTGGGATCCAGGCAAGTCATCAGCAAACTGAAGGAAGGAAAAGGAACAGGAGGCCAACTTTACAGGTGACCGACATGAATGAACAGGGTAATCTGGAAGATGGCAGCTAACAGGCGCCAGCGCTCATCCCCAACATGATAGTCAGTGCACTGGTTGGTCACATGATTACATTCAAGTACCACTCAGAGGTGATGCTGATTCCACCAATACCCTGCTTGACCCTTTCAGGACTGATTCAGGCACTGGGAGGAGCCCTCGTCTAAAGGATGAGTTCATCAATAGAACCAGCAGAGGGAAGATGAAGAAGGCAAAAAAGTTGAAAAACTGAGGCAGGGAAGGAAAGCATCAAGTATAAGAAGAAGGGCTTCACTACTTATTCTCTATTTCTTGTCTCTGGCAAAACCCGGGAATAGATGATCAAGGCCATGATTTGCAGGTAGTCAGGGCGACATTACCAGTTAACAGCTGCGGCCCCCAGAAGTTCACCAATGCCCCACGGCAGATGAATAGCATTCTCTTAATGGTAAAGGTCCAAGGCCCACAGATGACAGGAATGCTGTAAACACACAGTCCTGGCTTTGACCATTGCATCTGACAAAGTCTTATACTCTCCTTATAAAAACAAATTCTAAATGCAAGGATGATGATATTCTAGAGTAAATTTCTAACTGGCTCAAGGAGGAAATTCAAAGACTGCTGATTAGTGAATCTGTGCTGAAATAAACGAAGTTGCTCAGGCATGCCACAGGCCTCTACCCTCAGCCCTGGCTAGTTTAACAATCTTAATCAATGGCTTAGATGAAGCCAATTGCTAGTGTATTTAAGAAAGTCACAGACATGGTGATAGAAGGCATAGTGAACAAGGTGGTAAAAAAAAAACAAACAAGCAAACTGCAAAATCAACAAGAAAAAGGGAAAAATGGGTACAAAAAAGCATGTGTAAGACTAAATTAGAAGTCAGTTAAGACCACAAGCTTATTTAACGTAAGTAAGCAGTGTCACAGAACAGCAAGGAGAGCTAATGAGACTTCCCCTTTAAGAAACCTAACATCCAGACAAGGGGATGGTGACTCTGAGCTGCACTGGACTGATCAGGCTCAGGGCACGGTGTGCAGACACAGATGTCATCCTTGAAGACAAATGGACACATGTTGAAGACTTCAAAAACTGACAAGTGAGACAGGGTTAACAGAACTCAGGACTCAGTCTAGAGCAGAGAACAGATACTGACAGCTGGTAGGCTACCTCCAGAAGGCAAATGGCTTCACAGTTCATCCTGAACAGGATTTTAGAACTATCAGAAAATTTCACATAAAAATTTGGATTTGGGAGGGGAAAAAAGCTCTCCCAGAAAAAAAAATTGGCAATAACTGAAGAAAGAGGCGTAGTCAGAGTTCTCCTCAGTTGGAGCTGGTCTACCTCCTATTGTCTGACATCTGGCCACCAGACTATTATAAATGAGCTTACAAGAATTTGAGTTGTAACTGCTGTTCTGGAGAAAAAGAGGTGAGCGGTAAATATAAAAGCTGTGTTCTAATACCTGAAAGGCTATGCCAGGGCTAGTGACATACTAAGGGACTATTCTGAAGAAATAAGGCCAAAGGGTACGAGTCATAAGGAGGTTCAACATAAAAAAGAATTTTCTAACAAAAATGGAACAATCAGCCCGGGTATGTGGTCCTTCGCCACTGAAAAAGGACAAGCAGAGGTCACCCGTTACCGGGATCTCAAAGGAAACTGATTCACTGGGTAAAGAACTAGATAGTCAACCCCAATGTCTCTGTTGGTTTCATCTTCGGAGCTTTAAGATCGTCAGTCCCCACCTACCACGCAGAGCACGCTGACTGGGCCCTGCACGCTGTTCATGTAGGAAAAGCACTGGCTTCACAGTCAGAAGGCAGGATTTACTGTTTCCATGTCAACTAAACACAGGTTCGACTGTAGAATCATTATCTGATCCTCTTGGGCACTTTAATTTACCATAAGTGTAAGAGAACATTGTTATTTCATTAGTGTTGAGAAGCAGGGGCTACTCCTGCCTTGAAGTCATTCCAAGTTACAGCGAGGGGACTCACAGGGAGGCATCATGGTATAATGGACAGAAAACCAGAAGAGGAACTGTGCTTGGGAAAACTGGATCATTTTTCTAGACCTCAGATTACTCATCTATAAAATGGGCATAAAACTTAGCCATGTCTGCTCTAGATTGTTGTAAAAATCTAATTAAATAATGGCGTTCTGACAACCATACAGTGCAACAGAAATGAAAGGACTTTCCAAGACAAACACAGAACTATTATGTCTCGCCTTTGTGTTGCCTGAAATGCATTCTGCCTCCTTGGTACAAGGATCTGGACCAACCTACCCATTTCCCAGTGATCAATGAGTGCATCTATTTACCTGCCTCTCTATATATCAAATCGCACTTTCCCAAGGCTTCTCAATCTAGTATATCAAAAATTCTGAATGTATTAATTTAGTGAAGGAGGGGGAATGAGGTCAGCACTGAGGTTATCACTCTTTGTCCAGATAAGGCATAGGAGAGCAATTTCCTGCCAAAGTAATGTGTTAAATTTGAAGTTCTACATACTGGCCCACTAGGAGATATTTATTCTTTTTAACATAAGGCATCTCATTAATCAGTTAGAAAGGAGCTACAAGAGTCTATACACCAGTTGACTCAAGTACCCATTTTTATACGTAAATGTCAACAAAAAGGGCAGGGAGATAGTATCTAAACATTCAGGGCCGCAGAAGTACCCAAGTCCAGGATAAGAAGATATGATAGTTATGAAATGTAAAATGACAAATCAAGAAAAACGCATAGACACAACATTGTAAAATGATTATAAATCAATAAAAAAAGTTTAAAAAAAAAAGAAAAGAAAAACGCATAGATACCCCAAGAAATTCCAAACAGGCAGGTGAGCGTTAATCTCTTCAAGGAAATCTTAAGGGGTTAAGCTACTTCCTAGCTGTGAAAGCTTACCTGTACCCTGACTCTGATGATTTATTAAGGGTTATTTATGCTCATAGGCCATGCCTATGAGCATAAATAGTTTGAAATCCTTATGCAAACAAAAGTTTTCAAGCTACATAGAGATTCACACAAACTAGGCTTATATAAGTGAAATTCCTTCATAATTAAATTTTAAGAAAACTGCAGGGATTTGGGCATTAGCATTCCTTGCTGTTTAAAATGTAATTAATTTCCAGCACAATAAATTAAAGAGGTACCTATTACTTTTAACAGGCAATAATGGAAACTAACTTATGTGTATCTATTTGTTTACAGGGTGATGTAATTGTCACTGCAAGATTTTTTAACAAAACAAACATCAAGAGAAAATGAGATAGTGTTATCAACTGAAAAACAAATACATGCAACCACAAGAATGTGCTTACCTGTAATACAAATTTCTGATCTATGTATTTTTTGGCAATGCTGGGTTGGAATTCTTGGCTTTCCAAAAATCGTATGAAAAATTCATATACAAGCTGCAACAAATAGATTATCATTGATTTCAAATTATAATTCACTGAGAATAGTATCAAAAACCATAAAAAGTTCTAATACTAAAACTTACAGGGAGGTCAGTGGGTTTTAATATCAATCAGCTAGCCATGTTAGCCTTTCTTGTAGCTTTCAGTTGCTGTTATAATTTTTAACTTTTAAAATTTAAAATATGAAAACATAGCCAAACAAAGCAAATAAAAGTTCCCACAATCTCACCATTCAGAGTAACCATTGTAAACATTAACATATAAACCTCCCAGCTTTTCTCTATACTTCTACAATATGCCAATGTACTATAAATATATTTTTTTACATAGTTTTCAAACTACTTTTATCATCGTTTACTAGACAATACATTGTGGACAATTTATGCCAACAATATCTAAGCCATCATTCTCAGTAGCTACAAGCATTCCATTATACATAATTTATAATAAATAATTCCATTATTCATAATTAATTTAACCCATATCCTATGCTTAGACATTAAGTAGTTTCTGAATTACTTCTTTATTAAATTATGCCACAATGCACATCATAGAACATACATCAGTGTGCACTTGCTCAATTATTTCATAAAGAAAGAATTCTAAAAGTGAAATTGTTAGATCAGAAGAAATCCAAACATTACAGGATTTTCAACACTCATTACCAATTTCCCTTCAGAAAGTTTATGGTAATTTACACTTTACTAAGTGTAATTTACTAAGCAATATATGATGGAGTATCAGAATATTCTCATCTGTGAAGAGTTAGAATATTCTCATCCACAAAGTAAACCTCAAATATCTGTTCTGTTAAACAGTGGGAGACCACTGGTCATGCTCTTTGTAAAACAAATCTAGGCTAAAGTATACATTAGATCCTGGTGTAGTATACAACAGTGTATCAAAACTAGGGCTTTTAAGAGACAAACACTGGGTTGAAAGTCCAGCTCTGTCCCTTACTGTGTAACCCTAGGCAAGTCAATTTCTCTGAAAGTCTGCAGCTTTAACTGCATAATGGGGATAATAATCCCTAAGATTAAATGTGACAATATACATATAAAAAGTCCTCTAGAAAGTGACTAATACAAATCACAGCATTCTCAAACTTTTAAGTCTCATTCCTTCACATTTAAAAGTTATTGAAGACTCCAAAAAGCTTGTTTTACATGAGACATAAATATAAAAGTAGAAATAAAGTTTAATTTAATATATTTATTATTTTACAATAAAATACATCACACATTAACATTATATTTTGTGAAATTTTAATATATTTAATATTATTTATCTTTTATATATTTAATGTATTTATTACTTTATATTTAATATATTTATTATTTTACTACATATTTAATATATTTATTATTTATTGCTATTTATGGATTTAATATATTTATTTTTATTTATAATTGTATATTATTTTACAACAATAAAATACATCACACGCTAACATCAATATATTTTTGTGAAAAACAACTTTGTTTTGAAAAAATTACTAAGAAAAGAAGCATTGTTTTTTATTTTTGTAAATCTCTTTCATGGCATTTTAGAAGACAGATTCTTATCTGTTTCTGTATTCAGTCAGTTGTAATATATTGTTTTGGTTGCAGTATATAAAGAAAATCAAGCCTCACACAGACCTACTAGTATCAAAAAGGGGGAGCGCTTTCATAGCCTTTTCACAGAATTGTGGATACTCTTCTTTGACACTACGCCAGAACTCAACAGTCATTTCTTAAAGAAAAGCTTCAGTGTAGACTCTGAAACCGTATCAATGAACTTTTCATACTCTGTTACACTAAATTCCAATCATGTGTCTTGTATTTTGGATGATCTTTACCCATGCAGTTTCCTAACATCATTCATTGGCCAACTGGAAAACATTGGTTCACTGAGTTATGGAGGTTTTTCAAATGCTGACACACTTCATTACACAGTTTCAGGAAAAGTCACATTCTTTAATATCTCCAATTTTATCAAAAAAAAAACACAAAACAAAACAAAACCCTAAGCTTTGAGGAGCTATAAAGCTCAAAGTGACAGATAAAGGGCAGACACAAGTTTTCCAAAATTTTAATTCTAAATTTTGCTCAAATGCCCTCATTTCATCAGTTGTATTCTGTGTTTCAGAGAAAGCATCTACCAAATACCCAAGTAGGAACAACCACAGCTTTCAGGTATTCTTGCAACTAAAAGATGGTGTATTTCACCAAAAAACAGCTAGTTTAGCTCAAAATCACACAATGCCTCAGCACAAGACAAGCACTGCACTTTGGTACGCAACAGATGTGTTTTATGTATACTTCCCATCTCATTGCGAAGAGTATTTTCTTAAATGTGTACTCAAAGGTCAAGATTTTAATAAAATAATTTTTGCTGCTTCTCCAAGGACATTCTTCATTGAAGTTGTAAGTGCATGGCAGTGAAGAATGCAACTACTCAGCCAGTTTGGCACAACTGCCTTGATTTGTGCAATTTTAAACACCCTTGCTTTTACAAATATTAGTGCACATGTCAAACACAGTGAGAGAGCAAATAACACAGTATTATTGTAAAACTAGTTTTGACCTTGCAGGTCACTGAAAATCAGGTCTCAGAGGCCCCAAGGGTCTGTAGCTACACTAACCTAAATGTGTCATATAGTGACTTGTGGCTTCAGACTCTAACTTAACACTGATATAAGGTATTCACACTAGGATTTTACTTCTTTATAAAATTGTTTTTCTCTTTGAAACTCTCTGAATTCAGAAAAACTTCTTTCCCAGGGATCTGAACATTGCCAAGTTGTACTTCTAGTCATAAAAATGCCTGAGTTCAAAGATCCCCTAAAAGAATTGCTATTTTTTTGAAACATTAATCTTTCAACTCTAAGTTTTACAAATAGAATGTCACCCTTATTCAAATAACCCATAGAATGGGCTTTCATCTCTCTTCTGATTCCCACAAAGTAAAGAGATTCTCATCTTCCAGGCCTGACTTGTGGGCTGGCAGGCCTTTCCAGTGGGATTGGCAAAGTGTCCTCTCCACTCTGGTCCCTTGAAAGCAGTTATGGTTTGAAACAGTTTGGTGGAAACACTTCAGACACATTTATTAATAAGCACAGATGTTCTCTACTTTAGGAGACAGATTTTGCCTCAGAATCAAAAGTCTCCTTGAGTTCCTAAAGGGAAAGACTAGGGACTGGGGAGGATAAAATACTTTTCAAGGTCACATGAGTGAATTCTCCAAGGAACATGAGTAGAAAGACTTCAGCATTGCGGTTTTGCAGTCTAAAGTGTAAATCATTAAAAACAATCCCTTAATTGTTAGTGGAGGTTCTAGAAAATCATATTTCACTAGAAATACAGACCCAGTTTCAGAAAATACACAAAGAATAACCATGGTAACCACAGGATACCAGTTTAAAAGATCCCAACACAAACAGAAAAAATCAAATAACACACATACAGAAGAACTTTGGACATATGTGAATTAAAAACTTGTGGATTTAATACTTTTTCCTACTTTCAAAAATCCTCAAAGATCCATGATTTATTATAATGAGCAATTTTGTATGAACCATAAATTTAAATCAAAGTGTGTTTGAGCAGTCAATTAGTGAGGCAAGGAGCTGAGCCAATCACCTAACAACCACAATGTGATTTTGTTGTTCTCTACTATTGTCAGAGATTTGGTCATAAACACTATGCTTCTCATAAAATGTGGTCCAGTAGAAGCAGCATACCGCTAATGCTGGTGTTAAGAAAAAGTGAAAAGGTCAAAGAAAGTGCTATGTTTTGGTCAAAAAAAAAATAGATTGTGAATCAATCATAAAGTAAAATGTTGAATTTAGTGATGGGTCACTATGACGTGAATGACCTTTCATGAATGGAAAAGGAGATTTCCTTAAGAAATCACTCAGCGAGGGCTCCTGTCAGTACTAAAACCACTTCTCAGTGAAAATGGAAAGGTGACTGATTTGTGGAGTCAGAATGTACAAAGAAAACACAGAACTTATGAGGTAAGTCAGGAGCTGGTACAGAGACTCCCTATAAAGCAAAAGTTGGTTAAGGCAAGAGTGTGTCTATGACTTGACCTTTGCTATGAATCAAGGTGGACTGTGAATTTTAAGATTAAGTTTCTTGAGCTGATCCGGCAGAGCTCACTTTTTCCCCTGAGCTAAAGAAGGGGCGAGAGGATTACAGGCTCCAACAAGACTATCAACACAGATGAAACCAGCCGTTTTGAGATATAGTTTGTGACTCTACATCCATAAGGGTACATACAGGTCTTATAACATCACTCCTCACAGTGGCTTTGGTTTTAAGAGTTTCAGATGAACTAATGGTTAATGTTCCTGGAGTCACAACATGGTTTAAGCTAGAGACTTTTGGTGGCAGAATTCAGATTAATAGCTTTGGAAATTAATTTGGTCCCATATTTTATAGAGTCATTAAGCTTAGGAAGGATTAACTGAAATACTGAGTTAAACTTTATTGTACTTTAGGGGAAATTTATATCTATGGTGATCATGATTTAGAGTATTCAAAAAGCTCTTGCAAATGGCAAGAGTGGTCTACTATCTCTTCTTTGGGATATAGAGAGGACAACAAGTTGAAGCTTTGAAGATATCAGCCTCCCTGTCTTTTCTACCACAAGATGTAAGACTTTCCTGAGAAATTACCTTTTGTTTGTTCTGTTTTTCAAATTTCTTCCAGACTACACTGCACTTCTATGAATTTCTATGAACACATGAAGAATAAGACATGAGTGGGGAGGGTAGAGTGTGTGCTTAAAAAGCATGAGGTCCTGGGTTCAGTCGCCAGTACCTCCATTAAAAAAAGAGGTAAATAAATAAAAATAAACTTAATTACTTAACCCTCCCAAAAAGAGACAATGTAAAACAAATAAATATTTTTTAAGCGATGGCAAGAAGTCCACCTATCCAAACAAGGAATTCCTTTTTTTTTTTTTTTGGATTTTTGTCACAATCTGGGATACACCATGAGAAAAGCACAAATAGTTTTGCAAACTGCTTAGATTGCAAATAGTCATGTCTGGCACCTTAAGAAATCACTAGTTGTGTTCTAACTAATTTACTCCATCTTGGCATCGGTAGCAGGAATACATATGTATAATATGCCTAGGTAGGAGCTGAGAAAACAGAGCCCCTGAAATCTGTCTGTGTAACTAGGGAAAGAAGCATACATGTATTTCTGCAGCCACCTTGAAAGTTGGGGAAAAAAATAAACCCTTAGAATATCTCTAGACCTTACCTCCCTGCTGCATAGTTTTCTGCCCTTCAGAAAGCCAACTAGTAACCACGAACACACTTCTACAAAGACGCAGTGCCCTCTGTCTTGGGGTGAAAATCTACAAGGTTATATTTCTTCTCTACCATCCTTTCCCTCCTCACAAGTTGTCACCCAGCCTCTGAGAACATTCTAACTGAATGGAAAGATGACTTTGACGTTCTTTACACTCCCATTTCCTTGTTCTACTCATTTGAGAAATGCTGGCCCTGAAAGAAGGCAGCCAGGTAGAGGGGAGATGGGATAGCTCAAGTAGCTCAAGTGGTAGCATGCACAAGGTCCTGGGTTCAATTCCCAGTGCCTCCTCTAAAAATAAATAAATAAATAAACCTAATTACCCGCACCCCACCCCGCCGCAAAAAAAGAAGGCAGCCAGGAAAGGAGATTGGAAATGGTCTGATGTGGATAAGTAAATACAATGCAGATAGGGCTGGTGCAGGGAAGGGGGGTGCTGGGATGTCCCTGATCTGTCGGGGCACGTAAGTATGAGTAGAAAACATGGCCTTCTTGCTGCAAGAGAACAAAACTGGCCTTCACACAAGGTTTTTCTCAGCTATTGCTCCTCCTTTCACACTGGGAAATAGCTGTTGCAATTTTGTTTTTGCCCTTCCAGGCTAAAGAAGCACGTTTGTGGTTATCAAGAAGACAGGATTCAAAGTCCCCAGGGTACCTCACTGCTGAAAATGAGGTATGTACTCTGTGACCTAATCACATCTAACTAATATTAATGTGAAAGTAGTTCTGTTCTTGTTTGAGGCTCCAGCAGGCAGGATCACAGAGGCTCCAATAAAAAGAACTGCCAGCTGGGCCTGCAACCCGGGAGGGCCCACCCTAAAGCATTACAACACTTACTATTTTATTCTTTGGGCATCCTAATTATCGAGAGTAAGAAACATCAAAAGCATTCTGGAGCTTTCCATTAATGTACTTTAATTTGATTTCTTGGTGAATAAAGGCCTTCAAGGAATTCCCATGCTAATCAGCTAATGAGTTAATGGCTCTTTTTCTTAGAATAAATGGTAGCTCAAAGTACCTGTAAGTGTGGCCACGATGCCTCAAGGGTAGGTTCATCTTCTTCTGGATCAAATTCATTGCTGTCGCTAGGAGGGAGAGTTCGGAATATATTGCAAGATACCTAAAAATAAACAAGCAGCAGCGTTAGCTGGAGTGCAGGCACCTCCTCAGCAGCCTTACCCGAGGTCTCTGCGGCCAGTCGAAGGGACCCCAGATGAAGATGACAGAAACACCACCAAATGAGAAGGGGATCTCTTTCTACCGCTTTAAGGTCAGGACTACCTCCAGGCAAAGCTGGAAAGTAGCAGGGTGCACCGTCTACACTCTGTTTAATAGTACTCCTGGTCCTTCTAAGGTCATCCCCACGCCAGGTCCCTGGGATTTTATTTATAACTTCTATCAAAACTTGTGCTTGGTTACTTACCAGTCAAGCATGCTTCAAAGTAATCAATTTACACTAAGATACAAATAACTGCTAACGGGCTTCATGTATTTCCCTTCTCAGGCAACTCACAATTTGCAAATTCACAGCTAGACGAACGGTGAAATTACAAAATTACAAATTACAAAAAGCAAATCAGAAAAGATATTTCAGAACCGAAAATCCTTAAAATTACCTAATCGGTTCTCGGTTTATAAAACAGTAACAATGCCCTGGGTATTTCTTTACTAGGAGAAATTTCCAAATTTCCAAATTAAATCCTAGGTGCTCAAAGAATGGTCATTAGTTGGCTGTTGAAACTGGGTCATAAAGAGAAGAGAGTTCATTATACGATTCTACTATTTCTGTATATATTCAAGATTTCTACAGTTAAATGCTTAATTTTTAAAATGCTGTTACTATTATTTTACAGTAACCTACTCAGGGTTTCTTCCAATTTCTATTCTGTTTGTTGTTCTATTTACTTGTCTATGTTCTCCCAAAGACCCAAATATATCCTCAGATCTAAAAAATAAAATGGGGGATTGGGAAGGAGGAGGAGACTGTACCAAAAGTCTTTGATGGAATTTCTACATAATGCAGTTTAAAATACTAAGCTATAAAATGCTGCTCTGAAAGAAGGAAAAAGAAAGGCTTCTGGCAGCCCACATAATCTGAATGTGTTTACTCATTGAACAAATAATGATTAAGTGCCCATTATGTGCACACACTGTTCTGTGCGCTGAAAAATAGCAATGAACAAAAGCAGATAAAAATTTGCCCCTTCCAGGAGTTTACATTCTAGTTTAAGTCACATTTATCCCTATTTTCTACATTTGGAAACTGAGCCCAGATGAGTAAGCCACGGAAAGATCTGATTTTTTTTTAAGCGCAATGGGATGCCATTACTGGATTTTAAACAGAGACGTGACATGGTTTGATTTTTGCTTTTTAAAAAATATCACTCTGGTAGCTGTGTATAGAACAGACAGGAAAGAGGTAAGTTAGAAGCCTATGAAAGTGGCAAGAGATGATGACAGCTTGGACTAGAACGGTAGCAAAGAAGACAGAAAAAGACTGATTCAAAATATATTCTGGAGGTCATATTAGAAAATAAGCAGAGTTTGGGGGTCTCAGGAGCTAGGAGAAAAGTGTGTTAAGAAGGAAAAACAAGAGCACAGAGTAGCATCTATTGGATTCAGCAGCCCTATGAAGTGGGTACTATTATTATCCAATATTCACCACTGAAGAAACAGAAGCACAGGTGGTGCTGGGATCTGAGGTTACAGTTAGTAACCAGCAGTTACAGCTGAACCCAGGCTGTCAGGTTCTACCACAGTGTTCTAGAAAAGTGGGTAGACTACCCTCTTTGCTCTCCTTTAACTTAGATGACTGAAAAAAAATTAACGTATTAGAATATTTTTGCTATGGCTAATTACAGCATGCACAGTTATATTATTTTACTTTTGTCCCTTCCAATGAATATTAGAAATTATGTTTATGAAGAAACTAGTGATTTTTCAAATAACTATCAACAAATGACTTCTCTTCAACCAGTCAGCTATACTATAATCAAAAGAACAAAAGTCTTTTAATTAGTTGCTTTTGAATCTTCATTAAACTATATGTGTATTTTAGAAACTGAGTCTTCAACCCAACTACATCATCTGTATTTCTTGTACTCTGGAACAAGTTTTTCCCCCCTCTGGCCAAGATGTAAAAGTAAATCAAGAAAGTGAAAAGAAAAGAAAGAAAGAGTAAAGAAGGAAGAGAAAAGAAAAGAGAAGAGAAGAAAAGAAAAGAAAAGAAAAAAGACAAGAAATGAAAAAAGAGAAATGGCTTCTCTGTAGGAAAAATTCTGGATTGAAGGACACAGAAACTTCTGTTCCTCTGTACTCTGGGACATATAATCTTTCTTACAGTGCCCACCATGTGCTGCAGCAAACATCTGTTTACATATTTGTTTCTCTCTTCCCACTAATTAAGACTATGCAATGTCATATTCACATTTGGTTTTTTAGCACATATGAGGCATCCACTAAATGTTCACAAAATAAAGGTTTGGATATACAATGAAACTGTATTTTGGTTTTACTTTAACCAAATTTCAATTTAAATTTTCCTTAGTGATTTAAATAAATCTAGGTTACTTAACCTAAGATGTTTTACTCTGACAGTGTTCTAAACCTCTCATTGGGTCAAAGCTTCATCTCTTAATTATCATCACATCAAAAGAACGTCAAATTGTGTCAATAATCCAAACAGTAATTCCAAAGGCATGTACATCTCACTTAGCCACGTACTGCCATTTCTTCAGATTTGCTCTCCTTATAATCCTTTATTTAGTTTACTTCTAAACATTCACCATGAGTAATGAGGAAGCATGGACTTATTAGGCTAGACAATTAATAGTCAAATCAATTGGTTAAGCATTTCTCTAGCACAAATGGAAACAATGTCAAAGCAAATCAAGTGACATGCAAAAGGCCAAGGCTTTGACCCCGTCAGGCACATAATAGGTGCTTAATAAAAATGTCATGAATGAATGAACCATCACTCCCATCCTTGAGAATCTATCCTAAGAAACTAACTTAAGACAAGATGGAAAAACTTAAAGCAGTCATTTGCAACATTCTCCAAAGAGTGTAAAATTGGAAATAACCTTTATGTCCAACATGAGATAAATACATCAACTTAGCAGAATTCTGTGTACCATTAAAGATGATCGCTACCCTGAAACACAAAGAAATGTTTATAAATAAAGATCTAGGGGGAAAGATGACTTAAAATGGTGTGGCTCTAACTATAAAGATAAGAATGGAAATGGATAACTAAAGAGAAATTAAGAAAAGCTGTATTAAAGCAAGAGGAATACGGATGAAACTTGGTAGCTGCTGTTTACCCTCTTGGGACACACCAAATAAGTCCTAAATCCATAGAGACATGCGGTATGTGAGTTATGCCTTTAATTTCGAGATGAAAATGGGCTCTTGAATTTGTCTGAACAAGATTATTACTGTCTGGAGAGAATTAAAAATCAGAGACTCTCACAATGCCCAGCGTCTGGCTCATGAATGAATGGCTGAAGGACTGAATGAATGGACAAGTTTATCTATATAGCTGAACTCCAAAATCATAAATTTATCATGAGATGGGCTGAGGGGAAGGGATGAGGGAGAGGGGGTCCTCTGAATCCCCTGAGTTTTCTGCAATATTTTACATGTATAAGTCCAACTTGGGAAAAGAACCAGTTGCCTTCATCAGATTTTCAAAAGACTTCCAAGATCTAGAAATGGTTAAAAACCCCTGTCCAAAATAATAAATTTGCTTCCATTAAATCTTCCTCTATTGTTGCAGCCACTTCTGATTTATAGCCTAGGTTTTAAAGGAATTATTAAGTAGGTAACATTATTAAATAGGTAGCGGCGGTTGCATGCTTATGCGAATGTATCATGACCACAAGTAGCCACCAATGTCACTCCCCACCACATAGCAAGTATGTCCCATATAGTGCATATTTAGACTA